GAGTCTGTTTGATGTTCAAAAGGATTTATGAAGCGTTTTAGCAAAGAATCCAATTATTGCCAATCATCGTGAATGGTGAAACTTCGTGAGAACATCGTGAAACCAACATTTCATTGTTGCCGTTTTTGGGGTGTTCAAGTACACCATCAAACGTCTACTATGTTTTTCTATATGACAAACACGTGTCAAGGACAGACGTCGTCTAGTTTCTGTGTCTCTCAATGTGAAGCTTCCTGCCTGATCTCCTGCGCATGAGGGTCCGACAAAGGCAACTCCTGCACATGACATCACATGACCAAAGGTCCCGTGATGGGCCCTGATGGGACACAGTGAGGGTTCTCAGCATCCGAAAGCCAACATGGAAGGGACTTCTGGGGCGGTGAACGATTGACATCCGTCCGCAAGTCGTGTTACCCCAATCAATGGCTCTTGGTCTTGGATTGTCTTGGTCGATTTCTCTTCTTACAGGGGGTCTTTAGGTCTCCCCACATGAACTCTGGCTTGCTACACACTGCGTTTCTTTCCGCCTCATTCCCAGACCCCAACCGGTGGATCTTCCACTCTCACTGATCGTCTCCGACGTCTTTGGTGCATTCGTCAATCCAACGGAGATGACTTAGCGCTCGTACCTTCCCTGCGAAGTGGACAGCCCTCCGTGTGTAGAAGCTGGTCTTTCCAGAAGCCCCAAGGACCTCCACGTAAACTTAAACCATAAACCGATCAAAAAACGTCACCGGGTCCTCGCTGCTCTCCGCCAGCGGCGGCGCCGCCACCGCGAAGGCGCCGACCTTCTGTTCCGGGCGCAGCGCGCCGCTGTAGACGCGGCCTGGGCCGGGGGGCGAACCAGGCGAGGGAAGGGTATGGGAAGGTGGTGTCCAAAAGACTCCTATATATGGAGATGCGGGCGTGATATGGGCATATATGCGGGAGTTGTTGGAACATGATGGAATGTGTGCTTCCAACTCTTTGTTTGTATGGAATCTATGCCTAGATTGACCCCCCAAACCACCCCGATGTGCAGTGTCTGAGGTGGGGAGTGGAGGAAAGGCGCAAGGATCAGGATCCGAAGAATCACAGCAACCATGCAGTGTCGATCAAACACTATGCTTCCTTTACGAATACAGGACTGTGGACTCTTTGGATAGCGGGAAAGTGGATCCCAAAATCTCCAACAGGGGACTTCCATGGTGCAAAACACGTGTTGAATTCTTGCTCAAGGCTCATCATCCAAAAGGATCTTCAAGTAAAGCAGTGAAGCAGCGTCAAGCATCAAACACTCCATCCATGCCCAGCCCCAGATAGTCCCCTTTGGCCGGTCACCGTCTGACCCTTCACCCAGAAAATACTGGGGCTCCCAGCTCAGGTCATGCTGGGAATGTGGAGGGTTCCGGCGCACGATGGCGTCCAGCAGCGCGAGGGCAGAGACCAAGGTCAGCAGGCGAACCTGAGCAAAAGGTCTTGGACATCATGTCCTGAATGAGGTTCAATGAGGTCGTAAATGGTAGGCACCCTTCGGCATTTAAGCCTGACCTATTCGAATCACTTGACACCACCTCATATCGCCCACACACACACACACACATCACAAAAAAACACAAGCAAGCAAGACGGCGCAACCCAGCGAAACATCTGAACCCTAGGCCCTATAGCCCTGCCCCCACGGTCTCGCATCCCGTGAATCGGATTCTCCCGAGTAGCCGAGTGGTGATGCGTGTTGGGCGGCAAGGAGAGCGACGCAGCTAAGAAGTACTGCACCACCATCCACAGCTCTCGCACCAGCGACGCCTCTGGCAGCAACAGGGCGGCAGCAGGGCGGCGCTCGGGGTGCGTTCTGGTGAGTCTCCAAAAGAAGAGGATGTCGAGGTGTCTGTTTCGAGGAGCCGCATTGCTTCACTACAACTGCACAAACCAACCACCTGGGATGGATGTCCCATCAAATTGTCCCGTTCATTCTGACCGTAGGAATCCATTTCGCCTACCCAACAATCAGGGCCCATCTGAGAATTGGAGCAAACCACACCAAGATTCCGAGAGTAGATGAAACCCACTGAAAACCCTGAGCTGGTCTCTGCAACTTCAACATGAGCCTCAACACCAAACAATCCAAACGCCCTCCCAGCTGCCTGGGTCTCGTAATACATGGGCATGGAGCGCCAGAAACAGGCGCTCACCTCAGAGCTTGTGTGCAGAAAACACTACAATCGCTGATATAATAACCATGGATTAACCATGGAAGTGCATGGCATGGCTTGGATGACCATTTTCACCAAACAGGTGGTGAACTCCACTTCCATTACTATTTTAGTGTATCGGTCATCCGGTGTTTTCTTTCAAAGCTAGGACCTCTGAGAGTCAGTGGCCTGATCAGCAAATTTCACAGAACACCACTGGGATGTTTGTGCATGTCCCGGTCCAGTCTGGTGCTCACTGAGTTTGCTGACTCCCTTCGAGATTGGCAAAGGTGTAGGCAAGACCTGGCAAAGGTGTAGGCAGAGTTGAAGGACGGGGCTGTCAACCTCAAACTTGAAACCGATCCTCTTTGTTCTGTGAGGACAATGGTCCCCCGCAAAATTGAGATCCAATAACACCCACCGCAAACTGCAAATGACCATTTGGGGACATGTCTGTGCTCTAAACATCTTTCAACCTGTCAACATCCATGGCCCCACGAGACCGCCTCGTAAAGGAGGTGCTGCACTGTAGCCACCACATGGCGATCCGCATTCGAGGCCTAGGTGATGCTGATTCCAAGGGGATGGGCGGTGGCTGTGAGACATGGTCCACTCATGTTCCGTTCCACTCACAAGACTAAGAGTGGATCCAAAGTCACAAGATGAAAGCAAGTGTGCACACCACTCGGAGTTTTCCATGGTTGGGTTTTCTCCGGTTTAACTTTAGTTTGCATTCATGCAATGCAACCTTTCGATCTCGAAGTGCTGTGCTGTTGGTTGGGCAAAGCACTTTGCCTACCCCAAGATCCGGCTGATGTGGTGTTCGACTCATTCGACTCATTTCGACCACAGAAAAGACCAGTCGTCGGAGAGGAAACGAGGAAGACCCTGCTCTTGTCGCGTGGTCTTGGAGGGCACGAACGGTGGCTTCTGAACGTGTTGACAATCCGAACCGCATCACAAGTACCACACAATTGATGTGCAACAACAAAGTGACACCACATTGTGGGAGGACAAATGAACAAGTCAATCCCCTTTACCCCCTCTTGGAAATTGTTCCTGTTGAACATGGAAGTCCCTGGTCTCTTATTCACGACATGAAGCCTCATGAATCCCTTGGAAAGCTTCCACGCATTGAAATAAAGAACCTTAACCATTGAGGAACCTGCCTTCAAACATCAATCTCCAAGCTGGTTGCACGCAGGAAGCTGCCACTATGGACCTTTATGTGTTGGATATCACCGGGCTAGTCAGGCCGCTTGGACCTGCCCCGGACCTTGCTTTCCAAGAAACCAGGCCCCTCTGGTTCATCAACAACGCACAGGAGCGAACCTGAGTTCTGCATCAGTGCGACAGTTCTGTGTCTGACAGGCTTCACCTTTGCGCTCGACAGGCTTGTGAGGATGATCTCGCCGCTGGTGTGAGCTTTTGATGATGGCTGTTCTGGAAAGGCTTGGAACACAAAAGCAGCAGAAAAACGCAAACTGGTCCGGTGTTTGGGCGGAAACCTTGGGCTCTCCAACTTGGTGTTCACCATTTCAACTTACAACTGCATAGAACTGCAAATTGCAGCACTACAAGTTCAATCTGTGGGATTTTTGAGCATGCTTGCGCTATGGCGCATCCTGTGGAAGACTTCTCATGGAAGATTCACATGGTATCTGCCTCCCATACCTTGAATGAAATGGACGGCTTCCAAAGCGTTATACATGATGACATGTGCCAAACAGGTGTCAGTACAGTGTCATCTAGTGAATCTAACTTGTCCTGGTGTAAGTCATTGGGATGCCACGAACTTTCCGTTCGCCCATCCGTTCCCCTTTCACATCTTTCACCTCGTGTTGGCTTCGGCTGGCCCAACTGGAGATGTCGACATCGCACTCTCCCTTCAACCAACCATCGATGTGGGCAGTGGCACCATTCAAGCAAGTGGAAGTGTGATGTTTAATGGCTCCTAAATCAGGATACGTTGTTCACCAGCCGACCTGAACAAATGGTGTTCGTATGTTTTTGTGGAGGGCCATTCGATGAGTGACCTACCTATTTCTATATGGGTAAACGGCTGAAACATGAGGAACTCTCTTCTCCAACTGCTTTTCCATCTCTCCTCTTAGGCAGGTGGGTCTCCCCAGTCCGTTGTTTCCTGTTTTTTGCCTCCGAGAGACGCAACTTCGGAGGGCCACCGCCGCTTGGTGGTAGTCCTGGTTTGGGCCGAAGGGCCGAAGGGCCGAAGGGTGAGGAAGACAGACCAGAAGACATCTCCAACGCCCCACCGTGCTTCTATGGAAGTCAATTCAGTCAACTCACTCAACTCCACATCCAGCTTTTTCATACTCTCACTCGTTGACCAATCGGTGTCCTTGGTGTTTTGTGCTCGCTTCGAGGGGGAGTCCACCAGTCCAGGTTCCATTTCAGGCAAAAAAGCAACATTGAAATGCAATTGAAATATATACAACGGATGTCCATCTGACTGGAAGACTTGTGAATCCCGATGTGACATCGTCGAAGTCAATTCAACGACTGTTACCCTATAGGCTCAAAACATGCGAAACCTGCTGTTGATGAACAACTTTGTCTACAGCATACTTTGACCAACAAGCAACAACTCACAGGTTCTGGGGGTCCTAAGTATATCTCACTCTTTCTCACTTTTTCTCACCACCTGTCAAAGACTTTGCCCGCACCACTCCTTTTCTCCTTTTGGGCCTTGAAATCTGCTGAGAACGCGTGGCCAAATGCCACCACTGGATCTCCTCAGCGGCCTAGGGAGTGGAACCTTCCAACAGTCTCACGACAACTGTCTCGTTGATTCTGGGGATCATATCATATCGCAAAACAAAAAACACATGCAAAATGACATGCAAGAGACGCTTCCCCTGCAAAAAAAAAGTAGCAGGAGATCCAGTGTCATCTCAAAGCTTGCCAATGCGGATGCCGCCATCCACGCGGATGCTCTCACCGTTCACGTACTTGTTCTCCAGAATGGCCACGGCCATTTGCGCAAACTCCTCGGGCGCACCTGACAAGGAAGGCAAGAGACGCTCCAGGAAGGCTGACGACCCTCCAGGAGTCGGGAGGCGAGGGAGCTTTTTTGATAAAGCAGATAGGTCCGTGCTTTGACCACCAGGGTCGAAGAATGTTCTGTTTCCCGACTGGCTATCTTCCGAGATCCAAAGCCCGCAGGGAGGCCACGAATCATGCAGACCTCACACAGGGTCCAATGGTACATTGATGCTTTGACATGCATCGAATCGTTCTTCCTCAAATTTGAGGAATCACGAAAGCAATGATGAAAGCAAGCTAGCTACATCTGAGATGAAATAAAAACAACACATCCTGAATATGTCATTCATGGTCGCCTGGTACACTTGTGAACATGTCAGAAAAGGTCACCCAAAAACTGGAGTTTAGTCACAGTCACCAATCCAGTGATTGACCCGCCCACCGCTCGCCCAAGTGCCTCCTTAGTTCCTCGTATCCACACTTCCCCAAACTCTCTAACTAGTCCCACTTCCTGCATTGAGCACTGAATCTCCTCACTTTGTTCCAAAGTCTCCACTTGCTTTGCAGTTCATTTCGAGGCATCCCAACCTGACTCCACTTCCATCGCCAAGCCGCCCAGTCGGGTGTTGGGGAAGATCGGCGATTGCGCCAAGTTCTTGTAGACCTGAAACCAGCTGATCCCCATCAAATCTGGAAAGAATTCTTGAGAAACACCAAAATCCAGGAGAATGGATTTTCTGAGAATGATCATAGAATGATCTTAATACTGATCCAGAATCATCTTGTTATATGGAGATTATGGGACGGTATTTGCCATGGCCCACCTCGGGTCTGAACTGCTTCAGCGGCGCGGTCATCGGCGTATCAAAGACGCCGGGCAAGATGCAGTTCACACGGATACCTCTCCTGAGCTGGTCAGCTGGTCAGCTGGTGCAGCACTCTGCAACAATTCTCTCCCCTGGAGGTTCTGGATCTTAAAGTGGCAGATAGTGACCTGGTGGAAGGCGCTGGTATATAAAGCTTAACAAACGGATATGATATAGATGCCAGCATGGATGATTTCATGGGTGTCAAACTCCAACAACCCTCAACAGTGGATCCAGCTGAAGACAATCACATGTTTCTATCTGAGCTTGTTGTTGGGAGGGTACACCACTAGACAGCTCTTCAGTAAAACTTAAAACCCATATCAACCCATGCTCACAATGTTCAACACTGTTCACCCACCACGTCCACTGTCAGCTCCATGCGAACCAGTTGTTGGACCAACGGTCTCTACCACTGTCAGCGCGTGCGGTTCACCAGCAAGTCTCTTGCCCAGATCCCGGGCCATTGGCAGTGTCATGGCCTTAATGCCACCTTTTCCTGGACCGCAGTGCGATGCGATGCCAACCGTACGTGCCTACGGTGCTCCTATATGTCCTTAATAGGAAAGGAGATCAAAAGAGGGGGGTTGGGAAGGGAACTGAGTAATGTGAGAAAACAACAACAACAACAAAATAACATTTGCAGCCCCGACAAATAAGTCAATTACAGGAACAACCCATCTACGATCATATACGTATAGTATCTATTTAGCAAGGTGCCGGTCATGTTCTGCATCCTGTTCCTCCTGTTCCCACAAATACACCTGGCGAATCCTATGTTCTTCCAATGCATACTTAGATAGATCCTCTCACGTTAGCTTTCACAAAATTCACGTATCCGATATATGATATGTATGGAATACCATTGAAGACTCACGTTGTGGACCCATATGCATATCCCAAACAATCCATGGGACTGGATGATTTACCTACATTGACCCTCAAAACTTCTTAGAACATCTTATTGTAGGCAAATGGCAAATGTTCCATACATGGATTGTCTGGGTATGGATGATATCACTTAATCCTTGTCCTCTGTCTTCTCTTTTTCGTACCCCGCGCACCGAATCCTTCGATCGACCTGGCATTGTCATACCCTTTAAAGCTGGGTTTGACATTTTGAGAGCTGTCAATTTCCAAGGTTTGGGATGTCAACAGGGAACACATGGGATATCATACACCATGAAATGAACCAACAACCCCCTATAAGCCCTAGAGATTGGGATTCTCGGCGACGAATCTACATCGTCTATTTACAAGTCTCTGATGCTGTGAAGGGGAAACCCTCTGTCAACATTTCGGTCAATAGACTGAATCTGGCAGTCTAGCAGCGACAGGGTTCAGCGTGCAGCGACCAGTGTTTTTTGCCTGGAAATTCGATCCCACAAAAAGACGTGGTCAAATCCCGCTGAGAAAAGCAATCAACCGCACCAACCATCGCATCCCATCCACCGTGCCTGCCCCATAGGCGATCTGCCCGTTCTGCCCATCCTCTGCCGCCACGCTGGCAACGTTGACGATGCAGCCCCGCTCGCCATCCGCGTCCTCGGGTTCGTTCTGCGCAATCAGCGCGGCACCTGGGGAGGTGTGGGCGCTTGCACAGCAGATACTTGGGTTGGAACGTTAATAGATCTTAACAGTCAAACAAAGAAAAGGGACACATGATCCATGAACACTGAACACCATGTGAGGGCAAGAAAGTGAGAGGCAACAAATTGTAGACTATTGTGCAAAGCTACTGACTATGATGTGGACGAACCTCAAATAGCCACAAATACAATATTCAAACTTTATCTACGTTGAGGTGCCCGGCACGATTTCGATAGCTGCGTTTTCTGTGCGTTTTGTACATTTTGGGGTCGCGTTTTCCATATAGGTGCGTTTTCTGTGTGTTTCCTATGGGGCTGGCAGAGCGCACTCCTTTCACTCATCCTCAGGCATGTCAGTGGTGAGAGAACATAGCAAGGGTCAACTGCCTCTGCTTCTGCCATCTCAAGGTCCACGGAGCAAGCAGAATCTGAGTCTGAGCCCGAGGAGCTTGAGGTCTCTGAGCTGGAGGATGCGTCTTCTTCATCAACATCTACATCTAGAGGACATTCGTGGCCGGGCTTTGCTTTGCAAGCCGGTGGGGCCTCCATCTCCTCTTCATCTCCAAGCTGCACATCCTCCAACCGAAACTCGGCTGACTATCTCAGCCTGGATGGCACCCACGGCTTGCTTTTCTTTGCAAGACGCTTTTGGGAGCCAGAAGGTGGCGGGAACAAGAGCGGTCCTATATTCTGCACATGGCACAGCGTCCCCACAGTCTTCATAGAAAGGAGGTTTCTCAGCGGCGTTGCCTGCCTTGTAAGGTGGGCCCACCCATGCTCACAACTCTGGTTGGATGTGGTCATTGAATCCAAGTGCTCGGCAACCTTACGAAATCTCTTTCTCTGATGGCCGCAAAAGGCAAAAAAACAACTCGATGCGGAATTGCTTTTTCTGGATGCCGCAAAAAGCCAAAAGCAAATCGATGCGGAATTGCTTTTTCTGAATGCCGCAAAAAGCAA